AATAGAATAGAAAAGAACAGAACAGCATACACGAGACAGCATTATAGTGAGAGAGAATGAGGTAAGAGAGAATGAAGTGAGAGAGGATGAAGTGAGAGATATAGGAGAACTACGAACGAAGCAGCATCATAGTGGGTGAGATAGTAAAGAGAATATGAGAAAGAATAAGAGAGAATAAAGGAAGAAAAAGAAACAGAAGCTTGAACCTCACCTTGGTGTCTGTGTCGTTTTTCCTCAGCTCTGCTGGACAGAGTCATGGCTCGCGACACTGAACCAGATAGACGTGGGCCAACGTATGGGCCTAGTACTACATTTACTCTTAAGACACCATGAGACTAAGGTACAAGACAGTCATAGAGTCTGTGCTGCGGATAAGGAAAAACACCTATCTTACTGTTGGGAGTGAGTCTATTGGACTTCATTATTTTCCCAATAAGCCATGATTTAACTTGATCTATGTATGAAGCCTAAGTTGTATTAATGGTGCTTTTGTTCTTACATGGAAAAAGCCCTAGATGCCCATGTTATAGAAAGAATGAATATATTTCTTATTAAACTATTTTATTAACATTAATTGAATTTGATGACCAGACACTACATGCAATTAATTATTAAGAGTTTGTTGAGCATCCTTAAGTTGTGATGTGGACTATTAAGAACAGACTTTTTAAGAGTTAACAAGCATTCTGAATAACTTTGTAATCTGTTCTTTAAGAGTTGTCCAGCTTTTATATGGGAAGAGTGCTCAGTAGTTTTTTCTCCTTTACCTCCAGACTAGCATGATGGTAAATTCCTAAAAACTATAAGAAGTAGAAATAAAAGTGGTCTCTCAACATAGTGGAATCATTAGATCCAGAGCTGAGGGAAGACTCAAAAGTTGACTGTCATCCCCTCTTAACCACCATCAACTCAAAGCCCTGTGCATTAATGATTTCCATGAAGATGCTGATACCTAGCTCTAGCTTATTAAGAAAAGACACTTCATTTTGTGATCTTAACCTTTGGGAAAAGGTTATTAAAAGTGGACCACTGAGAAGCGTAACCACAGAATTTACTTTCTGGTACTGCATTGCTTTTAAAAAGTTTTACTTAATCTGTATATATGGTAATATAGAGCCATCCAAGATTCATATAGCATCTAATAATGAAAATCTATACTGAACATTTAAACTGGATGACTCATACCATACTTCCAAATTTGAAATACTCTGTTTATTCTGCCTCTGAATTTCACACTCCAATATCCAATCAACTCAGAGTAAGCTGTCCTCAGATGAACACTTTTATCAAAGTTTTCCAAGAACTTGTTCATCATTGAGGGTTTAAGATAGTAAGTACAAAACTCATAGAATGTTCCTTCAGTTTGTCTGGGGCCAGTAGCAAAAGATGAGCATACCTGAAGAAAGATAAATCAAATTTCAGTATTTGGGGGAGGATAGAATTGTTTTACATTCCAACCAAATCTGGGTCTGGCAACAAGGGACACAATAGAATCATTGGTGTTTCCATTTCTTTTGTTGACTCTTCACAGATGTGGTTTTGTAGATTTCAATAAAGATAATTACCGTTAAGCATGTGGGTTCCTCCCCCTTTAGTCACTTTTTCATGAAAAATTGCTCATACAAAGGCACTACTATCATAATTACACAAGAGAATGACAATCAGGAGTCACATAAAGTTTAACTTTAGATTTCAAATTTAATGCATAGTGTATGTGCCTAGAGTTACATATCTAAAAGAAGTTTGTAAACTCTGTGTTTTTTGCCATATACATCGAAAATGTTTACTAGGAGAAAGGTTTTTTTTGTTTTTTTTTTTTTAAAGAGAAATTGTTACTTAGGCCAAAGCATTGTTCCTACATTCAGCAAAGAAACCATTATGCAAAAGTATAATGGATGTAGGCAATGCATTAGGAAGTTGTGCATTATCCAACTGCATCACAAAATTTGGCAATAGACGATGAATGGTTAGGAAAAGAAAAAAGAAAAACTGTTGGAATTGTCTGAATCACTGTAAGGTTCTAACGAGAAACACAAAATGAAGATGGGCTTTAATGTTGTACCAGTGTGGTGAAAATACCCAAGAATTATTAATTTATTCTATAGTTCCATTCACTATGTAAGTTTCTAATTCTTGCTTTGAGTGCACTTAATTTTCATCAGGAAATGCTTTGCCAGAAATTACTTGTTGTGTGTATCTCTCTATGTAAACGTATATACGTGTACAGTGTATATCTATATATATATATGCACGTATGTATGTGTATGCACATTTGTATGGCATTATACTTAAAAAAACCCATCTTATGTTCAAATTGTGATAATCTTGTGCCCATTTCATGAAGCTAATAATACCAGAAAAATCTGTTAAAAGCAGATTTTGTGTCTACAAAGGTATGGAAAAATTATTGCACACATTGACCACTTGGTATATTTAGATAAAGGAGGCATTTTTTGATATAATCTTGTTTAATAAAACACTGCATTTATGTACATAAGACTTAATATAAATTTATCACTTGAATTAAATCCGTTGATATTTATTATGAATCGTTCTTGCTGCTCAGATCGCAGGCTTGCCATCAAAAACGGCAGCCGTCTCTGCATTTAGTGGACATTTTCTGTGCTTTTTAACAAAAATCTACCGACAGAATTATTAGAGCTGCCTACTATCTATACTTAAAAAAATGGATAAATTATATCGGAAAAATAAAGTACATTTATAACAATACTTTATTCAAACTGTATTTGGTGGATTAAATAATTGTCAAAGGCATAAACTTTTATTATCTTTTCCAGGATACGATACAGTAGGGAACCTGCAGAGAGAAGGGGGTTGTGAGATAAAAATGATTTGAGAGATTTCTGTTGCACATCTGGACAGAACTGGGGCGAAACCATGTTCACGCTCCCTTCTGCCCAATTTAAGACGCGTTTTTCCCAGCAATGACTAACAATTCAGTCATAAAAGAGAATATTGGTAGAGATTAAAACCTAAGCGTAGACAACAATTGTAAGGAAATAATTCGTGGTGCTGCCACAATAGAATCATGACAAGCTGTGCGGGCAACAGGAGTGAATAGCCACTTGCCCCTTCCGCAGGGTCCACCACAATCCTCTCTGTGGACTAGGTTGACCAGCTTCCTATTCTGCTACTTGGGTAAGGAATGACAGCCTCAACATGAACAGGAAAAGAACTGGGTTCATTCAAGTTATTAGGTTGAACAGCTAAGACTGAAGCAGTTTCCTGAGGCTCTGGTGCCTGCTCAGCTTGATGGCCTGCTGGGCAGAGGTCTTCCCACGCTGCGACCCTGACTTGCTGGAGCTTCTCCGAAAAATGTCCGCGTTTGGTTGTCAAGGCAGAGGGTACTGGGTCGGAAGCGGCGGCCAGGTCCCCTCCTCCTCCACCGTCAGGATGAAATGCTCTGGGTGGAGGTTCTAAAACCCTTCAGCAGGAGGCCCACAGCGCCCCAGCCTTCCACAACCTGGCGAGCGTTGCCGTGGTGGGAGCCAGGGCTGGGATGGCACCAGAAACAGGGTTCTGTAGACCACTAGTACCCAGGACAACATACAGATCCTACAGACCACTGGTATCCAGGACAACATACAGACCCTGCAGACCACTGGTACCCAAAAACACATACAGGCCCCGCCCACTTCCCTGCACCCACCGGACACGCCCATAGACCCCACCCACTTCCTGTAGACGGATACCCACCCCAGAGGCCCTGCCCACCCCTTGCACAAGAGTCCCCACTCCACAGACTCTGCTCACCCCCAGAACAAGGGGCCCTCATTCCACAGGCCCCGCCCACCTCCTGCACCCGGGTCCTCACCCTACAGGCCCCGCCCACCTCCTGCACACGTGTCCCCACCCTACAGGCCACGCCCACCTCCTGCTCTCGTGGGTCCCACCCCACAGGCCCCGCCCACCTCCCCGCGGCCCATACCTCAGGCGCAAGGGGCCGCAGGGCCAGAGCCGGGTTCAGGCTACTTCGCAGGGCGAGCGTGGCGCGCCTGGGAGCGCCCAGAATGGCGGCAGCCGAGCTGTGCTACTCAGCAGCTCACCGTTTCCCGACTGCGAACGAGACACCGGCCAATCCGCGGGCGCGGGATGGGCGGGGCTCGGGGTCGGCTCCGCCCCGGCCCGGGAGGTGCCCTTGGCCCAGCTCTTTGCCGTGGGTGGTGTCGCCCCTGACTCCAGTCGGGTCCGCTGTGCTACTGCGAAGGTTCTTGCCCTGATGTCAGGGGTGATGTTACAAAGAGCGGAACTCCAACATCCCTCTAGTTCCACCTGGGCTTTGCCGCCTCCTCCGCCGCGGGGCGCAGCCGCTCCCAGAGCAGATGTTCCTGGGTGCCAGCCTCTGCCTCCTGAGTGCTGGGATTAAATGCTTGTGCCAGCGAAAGTCCATGTTTTAGCTTTGATTGTAATTGTGAATCATAGTATGATTCCATCTGGAAGCACATGTCCTATCTGAGCGTGGTATGTGACTCTCCATGTGAGTCACACTGGAATTTAATTTCCTGAAAAAAATAACTTGTTGAAAATAGTTAATCCCGGTTTAAAATCTTAGCAGCATTGGGTATAGCTTTATTTAGTAAGAAGAACAACTGCCCACTGTTAGTGTCCATCATTATGACCAGGGGTCCTGTGTCCCGTTGTCTGTTCTTTTTCCCTTCCCCCAAACCTCTTCCAAAGACTCCAAGGTTTCCTGAGGGAAGCCCAATAGAGAGGAAAAGAAGAGTGAATCCAGTGCCCAGGGAGAGAAAACAGAGTTTGCATTATTACAGCTGATGTTATTTTTGGATGCAGCCTGTACCTTTTAAACAATCAGGCTCAAAATGTTAAAAGCTGAGAATTTAAGCCATGCTGGGGGATTTTGGCAGGCCACGCTTCTCCCAGGTCTCCTTGGTTGCTCTGGGCCACAGTTGCAGGAGAGGAAGATGATTGGGTGACGGTGGTTTTAAAAAAAGTTTTTTTTTTTCTATTCCATTGTAAAGTTTATCTTTTCCGGGAGCCAGCTTCTAGAAACTCCAAAAAGTCTGAAAGGATTATTTTGTCCCTTTCCCCAGTTATTTCAAGTTTAATTACAGGGAAACTAGTTCATTTCTAATCTCAAGTCTAGGAGTTTTTTCACAATCTTAGTTACTTTTCTAATTGCCTTCATTTATTTTGAGAGAGAGAGAGAGAGAGAGAGAGAGAGAGAGAGAGAGGAGAGAGAGCGCTAAGATAACTACAGAGAAGGCAAAGAATACAATCTCCACAATGTCTTCAGTAGTAAGTCTCAGAAAATCTCCCTGAAGCTAGCCCAAGCAGAGCAGAGAGAACTGCAGTCATCTGGTGTGGCCTTTCCACTATGCCTCCTGCTTGGACAGGGGCAGTACCCGTTCCAGGGTTCAGGACATTGGAATCTCAACAGTAATGCTGCCCTATCATTTCACAGTTTTGACTTGGTTTATATTGACTTCAGTGAGTTGAGCTGGTGGTCTTCAGAGGAGATCCAAGAAGTCCCATATATGTTGTGGTTGGCACATTATCTGTCTGGGGGTTATAGTTGGGTTTGTTTTCTCAGCCAATTAAAAAATTAAAAGGCAGGGGAAAAGAATCTCAAATCAACAGAGAGTGGCAGTCAAACAGACTCTTAAAAGATAAAGGATCCCGGCTTTGGTATTAGAGTGATGCTGGCTTCATAGAAGGAATTTGGAAGTTCTCCCTCCATTTCTATCTTTTTGAATAAATTAAGTAGTATTGGATGTGGATTGTCTTTAAAAGTCTGATGGAATTCTGCTGTTCTTCTGTAAATCCATCTGGTACTGGGGTTTTTTAGGTGGGAGGTTTTGTATTACTGTTTCAATTTCTTTTTGTGTTATGGGTCTGTTTAAGCTGTTAATCTCTTCTTGGTTTAGTTTTGGTGATTCCCATGCCTTTAGATATCCATCCATTTCTTTTAGGTTTTCAAATTTAGTATCATATAGGTTTTTAAAGTATCCCCTTATAATGTTCTGTAATTTCTGGTGTCTCATTTTGTTGATTTGGAGGTGCTCTTTCTTTCTTTCTGGTTAATGGGCTAGTGATCTGTCAATCTTGTTTATCTTTTCAAAGAACCAGCTCTTGGATTCGTTGATTCTTTGTATTGTTTTCTTTGTTTCAATTTCATTAATATCTGCCCTGATTTTTGTTATTTCTTCTTGTCTGCAGGGTTTGGGTTTTGTTTGCTGTTGCTTTTCAAGTGTGTTGAGTTGCAACGTTAAGTCATTTATTTGTGTTCTTTCCGATTTTTTGATGTAGGCACTTAGAGCTATAAACTTCCCTCTAAGGACCACTTTCAACATGTCCCAGAGGTTTTGTTGTGTTGTATTGTCCTTTTCATTTAGTTCCATGAATACTTTTATTTCTTTCTTAATTTCTCTTTTGACCCATTCATCATTCAGGAGTATGTTGTTTAATCTCCATGTGTTCATGTGGTGATTAGGGCTTCTTCTGGTGTTGATTGTAAGCTTTATTGCACTGTGGTCTGATAGAATGCATGGAATTATTTCAATCTTTTTGTATTTGTTGAGGTTTGTTTTGTGCCCCAGTATATGGCTGATTTTGGAGAAGTTTCCATGGGGTGCTGAGTAGAAAGTATGTCCTTTGGTGCTTGGGTGGAATACTCGGTAGATGTCTGTTAAGTCCATTTGATATATGGTATTGTTTAATTCAGATGTCTCTCTGTTAACGCTCTGCCCTGTTGACCTATCTAATGGAGACAGTGGGGAATTGATGTCTCCTACTATTAATGAGCTGGGATTAGTCTGGGTTTTAAAGTCCTGTAGTATTGTTTTTTTGCATTGGGTGCACCAGAGTTTGGTGAGTATATGTTCATGATTGTAATATCTTCTTGATTTATTGTTCCTTTGATCAGAATGAAGTGGCCCTCTTTAGCTCTTCTGATTAAAGTCTATTTTGTGAGAAATTAGAATGGCTATGCCTGCTTTTTTCTTAGTATCATTTGTTTGGTATATTTTTTTCCATCCTTTCACTTTAAGATAGTGTTTGTCCTTGAAAGTGAGATGGGTTTCTTGCAGACAACAAAAAGATGGGTTTTGTTTCTTAACCCATTCATCTAGTCTGTGTCTTTTGACTAGACACAGGAGTGCCTAGGGGAACTAGACACTCTAGGGGAGTTCAGTCCATTAATATCTAAAGTTATTAATGAAAGATGAGTATTGAATCCTGTCATTTTTATTTCTATTTACATTCATGATGTAGCTGTGCTCTTCCACAGTTAAAACTTCATTGAATTTCTTTCCGCAACTCCTTGGGTGAGCCAGCATCACTCTAATACCAAAGCCAGGTAAAGATACAACCAAAAAAGAAAACCATAGACCCATATCCTTAATGAACATAGATGCAAAAATTCTCAACAAGATATTTTCAAACCGCATACAGACACACATCAAAAAGATCATCCACCATGATCAAGTTGGCTTTATCATAGAGATGCAGGGATTGTTCAATATATGTAAGTCAATAAACATCATAAACCGTATAAATGGGCTCAAAGACAAGAACCACATAGTCATCTCAATAGATGCAGAGAAGGCCTTTGACAAAATTCAACATGCATTTATGTTCAAAGTCCTAGAGAGAATTGGACTGGAGGGAACATATGTCAACATAATTAAAGCCATACATAACAAACCCACAGGCAACATCATTCTAAATGGAGAAAAACTGGAAGCATTCCCATTGAAATCAGGAACCAGACAGGGCTGCCCACTACCCCCACTTTTCTTTTACATAGTACTTGAAACTCTTGCAAGAGGAATAAGAGAA